TGCAAAACGTTTGCCATTTCTGGGAGAATAATTCTATCTCAAGTAAGTTCAGGTTTCGCAATCCCTCCGGGAGTAGTTTTGCTGTTGGCATTACAAGATGATCCCTCTACTGCTTTTTTGGATGGTCTGGTCTTTTCCATCACGGGATTGTGCATATCCTGGAATAATCCTGCTACTTATAACTTGTACGTATTCTCTATCTATCCTATCCTTTAACTATATTTACAAGAACTATCTTTATAAAAACGGTAGGGATGGGAAGAAGATGCAAAGCAACAAAGTCCAATGCATCATCATAACATGTAGGAGACTAAAAGAGGGGAGTTGGCCTAGCTTGCTCATCTCTTAAGCAATGATTTTGTTGTTCTTTCTAAAACCCCAGCAAAACAAGTATCATCAGGATGGTGCACAATTGTTTTCATTGCATCATGATATAACAATTGTTTTCATGATAAAGATTGCTACTAATTCAAAGAGGGCAGCCTAGACTGGAATTGAATAGATAAGGAGGTTATGGGTCAGAAACCCACAACACTTTGAGATCTCAAGCTTGTTGCCTCGACTCATCATCTATAACTTCTGATGCTTTATGCAGAGCAAACAGGGCATTATTTATTTTATACTGCAAAATCATGAGTGCACAACTACTAGTTCTAATTGTATTTACTAATAGAAGTTGGTGAGTATATCTGTTTAATAAGCGTTTCCCTGGTATATGAAATACACAGTCCAATATTTGCAGAGATTGTCCCTGAGAAACCTCGAACAAGCGTCTATGCTTTGGATCGATCGTTTGAGTCCATCCTGGCACCATTTGCACCGCCTACAGTTAGGATTTTGGCTGAGCATGTTTACGGTTATAAACGAATGCGGAGAGGATCATCAGAATCAGACTCCATTGAGATGGAAACGGATCTGTAGCTTCATTTCCTCATTCCTTTATTGCGCATATCCAAGAGACCGGGGGGGAGCAAGGATGCGTATGCCTTAATTGAATCAGAAATGCAACAAAATAGAGGCAGATGATTCTCCGCCAACAGGCCAGCACTTGAATGTCATCCTGAAGAATCAAAAGAACTGAACAGAAGGGACGAGGAGACCCTTGATTTTGATGATACTGATGACAAATGTCTGTTTAACCATCAGCTGGCGTCGTCTCAATGTCAACATACCGATAAATATACCCGTCAGGCAAAAACTGAACTGCTCAAATTAGCTTCATATGTAATTCAAAACAAATTCTAGAACTTTAAACAACACAGTTTCTTACAACAGTGGTTCAAGGTTTATGATTTAGAAACGTCGTTGGAATAGAACATTACCCTGATGGAGCTGTTATAAACATTTTCTACAGCATAGCATTGTCTCATAGCTTTCTGAGTTATCCTGAGGTCGAGAATTCAAGCCTTCTCTCACCCCACTTTGTTTTGTCTATTCGAGTCTCTCAACGGTTGGAAACACTTTCACAAGCCATTGTCGGTCGGCTGTGTTTTACAGTAATCTTAGTACTTTGTTCCACGATGCCTTAAATGTTTTGTGTTTTTAACTATGTGATGTAATGTGAAAGTGATATATAATGAGATTGTCATTATCTGCTTTAATGGAAATGCCCTTTTATTATCTTAGAAAAAGCTTTAGTTTTAATCCAAACAATTTATGTTGATTTTGTCTACTCGAACATTGGTGCTTTTCATTCTCAATCAATTCACCCTCCTTGTTACTTTGACAACATCAAAGTGTAGTTTCTCTCTCTTAATTAAAAACACTAATTAAGATGTTAAAATAACCATTAATACAACTTATTAAGTGAGCCAACGACCTTCAAATACCAATTGTAATAACATATTAACTGATCAAATGAATAATCAGCAAATACGTGCTTTATAATGTAGATAAATTATAGATGAAGACTTTTTTTTGTAAGGTATTAGTAATTAAAGTTACCTAGTACCTTTTATGGCATTTGTGATAAAATTCATAATTAAATACCTGCTCTTTACTGAAAAAAGTAAGGGAAAATAAATTTAAAAAAAAAAAGAAAAAAAACAAGGGAGCAAGAGATACATGGTCTTTGATAGGGGGTAGCTGCCTGGAGGAAGACATTGGATCCATCGGCACATGGAAATATGGCCAGATATGAATAAGCAATGCACGAATTTAATAAAGACACAGGAGAAAGTAGCTTCTCTAATTTTGTTTTTGCCCTTCGTGGACTTTGCAACTACCCCTCATTCACATTGTTTCCTTCATGTGATCGGTTACTATTTGTAAAGAAAAAAAATATCTTATTACTATTATTTTTTATGATAGAGGGTGTAGCATAAGAGATCAGAAAAAAAAAAACTATATAAAAATCGAATTTTAATTTTATATAAATATAAATAAATCATTTGAATTAAATTTCGTATTTTTTAAATTGTAATATATTGTGATTAAGAGCTTTTAATTTCATGCATAGAATTTGTAGAGATTAACAGCTAGCTAGCTGATTTGATATAAGAAGAAAAAGAGTAAAAGTACGACCTTTCTTTGTTCATGTGACAAAGACATGCCACCTATAGATTCTGAGCAAAGGAATTTACCCATCATCAATGATAATGAATCTATTCTTAAGTTAAGATTCAGCAAAGAAAGTTTTTATGGGAAAAGAAAAAAAACCCACATTATTTGATGTTTGGTATGTTATAAACTACTGTAAAAAACACCACAACTAAATCAAATCCATGGGGAGAAAGCCTAAAAGCGACCATTGTTGGGACCTGCAGCATCAGCTTTTCAATTCAGGATCCATGAGCTTTAAGGTTCACACAAATTACCAGTTTTACATCTACACTTGTTCGAGGGAAGGGCCAAGATTTGCTACCCTGGCTCGGAAATACAAGATGATTTTATCATAATTCAGAGCCCTGAGTACCAAAAATACAATTCTGAATAGCAATTTAAAAATACAGCTCATTTTGAGTTTTCTCTTTTAGCCTCAGCAGCAGCCCTTTTATATTCACTCAAATAGCCATGGTGGCACAGGCACAGGCATAGGCATATGGCCAATTTTACATGGGAGAGCAGACAGCAGAGCATACATACTTGATGAAGATGAAAGAGCAACATGATCTGACGGTCAAGACAGCTTCCTGCACCCATTTTTGTGGGACCAAGGAACCATAATGTTATTCCATTATTACATTCTTTTATGGGACCCGACACATGGCTAGGATCCTCACAAAATTCAGAATTATTGGTCCCACTTTTCTCACAGATCATAAACTTGGACCAATTTGCAGGGATTGGCATTGTCTAGAACCCACAACTTGTTATTTTTCAATCTATTTTCCTAGATGGGAAACCAGAATATTATGCAAATCAGGGCACATAAGTCAACCATTTCAACTATTGGTCTGTCCCCATTAAAAAAAATCATCATTATTCCGAGATCATTTTCATTTTCTTGGTCATTGTTTTACCTAATAAACTGCTATCTTCTGAGTCAAATTCCGAGTCAAGAAACTGATCATGCAAATCAAAGTATGGAAGAACAGCCTCAAAAATTTATAATGGGTTGGAGTCTGGTGGAGATGGGATCAAACTCTATCCAAAATGCTGGTGCCAACCGACAATTGTGTACTATACTAAGAACATTAATAGAAATTTTGTACCCTTTCTTTGTTTTAGGTACGACCAAAGGTTGTCTTAGTTTATAGTGAAGTCGTAAAAAATGTCAGACGTTTCCAGTGAGAAAAGGGTTGGCAGTGCATATGGCATTATTCAAGTTGTCCGTTTGAGTTTCTCTAAAATGATTTCTAGTGCTTGTAGCTTCGTTGACCCTACAAACAATTATATATGGAGATTTGATGAGATATACTAATTGTATTTAACAATTTTTTCCTAGTTTGAATATTTTTGCAAGTGGTATTAAATGGTTTTGAAGGCCAGACTTTTTTAAAACTTATAATCTCTTTTGAACTATTTGGTTTGAAAATCAAACAAACAATTAGATATTATTTTCGTATTTATTTCATATTAAATATATATAAAATATAAAAATTATTATATTATAATTTATGTTAATATACAAAAAATAAAACATAATTTTTGTTTTTATTAAATTTATATACTATTTTTACTTAAATTTTAAATTATATGATTTTTATTTTTTTAATTCATATTATTTTAATTCATATTATATTTTTATCATATCATCATTTTATATTTAAAATTAATCTAACAATACCACTGCCTAACTATCTGAGTCCAAGCTACTTATAATTATAATTCCACCAGAACCCTAGAATCCCATCACATTTTTAGCATCTAATATTGAAACTTTACAATGGGCTAGCACCAAAAAAAGGGTGAATTGATTGAATTCAACTTTAATTATAAACATTTTGCTTTGGGTTTCTCATTACTTTCTGCATTATAATATTAAAAACAAAGGTCAAAAACAAAGGCTTTATACCATTAATTTACTGGTTCTGATGCAAGTTTTTCTTTTCCTACTGTAATGAAGTGATTGAAAATTCTTAAGAAATCAAACACTGGAGGGGGAATTAGGGCCAAAGCTTTACTCCCAAGAGTTTAAAATAATTCTACTAGTCTTTGCTCTTTAACATTAAGGATTGAAATTGAACCCTACTTTGACTTAGAATTAACAACTTGAAGTGCAACTAATGGGGCTCTCCACTTCTCTCCCTTTCAAATATCAATCCAAATAATTAAGGGGGCCATGATAAGGTGGCTGGTTCTTGGCTGGTTCTTGGCTTGTTCTGAACAGCATTGTTTTTATTCTTTGCATTTCAACCCAAAATCAGTCAAATGTCCCATTCTTGGAGTAACTTAAGGAATGGACGATGACCTGTGATGTAAAAGTCGTTGCCTAAAGTCTAAAGCAGCATTGCTAATTAATTTAATCACAACTTGATGAATTAGTAACATTAAAAAAGAATTTTCCTTTCTAAATAAATGGATGATTTTTGTTGTTTTAACACATTTTTTTTTGCTTTCGAGAGTAAGGTAGTGAGGCAGTAGCCCCCGAGGGAACAGGGCGAAACCGCGTTAACAATTAACTCTACATATTTTTTCTTTGCCTTTAGCACCATGTGACTGAACTCAGCTTCTTCTCATCTTTTCACTTCCCTTTCATATAGATGTACATCTATATAAAAGCTGTTCTTTTACTTGCTTCCAATTCCTCTCTCTCTCTCTCTCTCTGTCTCTCTCCTTTTTCTTACATGAACTTTAGACCCAATCCAAGACTTGAATCATTGGATCTCCAATATTAGATCTTCAGGGCAATATCCTAGAGTTTCGCCGATGGCTCCACTGATGTACTTCAGTTTCCGTAAGTTACTTGCTTTATTTGTGTTGATTTCTATGCTCCTTTGTGCCTCCATTGAAAGTCTTGAGCTTCAGACCAATCGCTTTGGTGCTAGAAGAAGATTGCTAGAGCTTGAAGGAGAAGAAGACGAGCAGTTGTTGCTAAAGAAAAAGAGCTCCAGTTTATCCACCAATAACAACCAAATCAAGCTCATCAAATCTTCAAACCTATCCACCAAAAACCAGACCAAACTTTCCAAACCTGCCAATTTAACAAAAGCAACAAAACTCTCTAGTACTCTTTTCAAGTCTGAACTCAAGAAGCTCAATTCCACTTCCCTGTTAAAGAAGCTCAACTCCACTTCTCTCCTGAAGAAGAAACTCAATTCCACTTTCCTGTTAAAGAAGCTCAACTTCACATCAAAAGCCACAAACTCCTCCAAAACCACTTCACTTACCTCCAAAAAAACCTCGGATCTACTCAAACTAAGCACATCCAAGAACAAAACAACCACCAAACTCACTTCCAACAAAACACTGGCAGACAAAAAACTGACTGACCCTGAATCTTCTAAACCTCAAAAGAACTCAAACAAAGAGAAAAACGCCGCAACCGAGAAACCAAAACAACAGAAAAAACAACCAAGCTGGATTGATCAGGAAGATGATTCTAATTTGGTTGCGGAGTTCCGAGATCTACCAACCAAGTTCCAGCAAACTCTTATCCCAGACCTTGAAAAAATCTCAACAGCCTCGAAATCTTACATAACCAAATACAACAAACAAATCACCAAACAATTCAAACCATATGTCGGCAACCAACATGCCCCTACCATTGCCACTATAATCTCTTTTGCGTTCCTTTTAATCCCATTACTCTTAGTTTCCCTCATATTTAACCGCATCAAAGCCTACTTTTCACTCCAAAAAATCCTCATTTTCATCCAAGTTTATCTCTCGATTTACTTCTCCATCCTTGGCCTCACTTCCCTCATTACTGGGCTCGAGCCACTGAAGTTCTTCTACGCTACGTCGCCATCCACCTACACCTGCTTACAGGTGCTTCAGACACTTGGATACGTGCTCTACTTGTTGCTTCTTTTGATGTATCTGATTCTTGTTTTCTCAACTGAGTCTGGACTCGGCTCCAAGTTGTTGGGTTTGGGCCAGAGTTTCGTGGGCTTCTCTGTCGGGCTACATTACTACGTGGCGGTGTTTCATAGGATGGTTTTGCGTCAACCGCCCAAGACTAATTGGAAGGTCCATGGGATGTATGCCACGTGTTTCCTTGCGATTTGTCTGTGTGCTGGAGCTGATAGGAGAAAGAAGGCTTACTTGGAAGAAGGTGGTGAAGAGGGGAAGAAGAATTAATCAATTAATTTTTTTTTTAAGTACATTATTATAAATTTAGTTGGTCCAAAAATTATAGTACCCATAATCTCAGCCACTTAAAATTTGTAGCAATAAAGAACAAAATTGTTTCATAAATGAGATTGGCTGAGAAATTTCCTGTTTGTTAATTATCATTTTTTTATTTTCCTTTTTAGTTTTATAATTTCTGCACTGTAATGTTTTGTGGACATTGTAACACCATTGAGCAATCAAATATGGTGTTAATTATCTTTAACTTCTTGATTTAATAATCAAGATAATTTTTAAAAAAATATTAAAGTTGAGGTTTAAACTTTAATTTTCTCTCTCTTTATTAATGTAGAGCTTTACCCCATTAAATGATAAAAAAAATGATGTTAATTAATTATTTTTGAAAATAGAAAAGAGATTAGTAATTTATTTTTCAATTCAAGTTTATATAACTTTTCATTTTTATTAATACTTTATTTAAAAAAAATCGTTTATATATATTGATAATAAAAATTTTTAATTTTATAAATCAAATTAAAAAATTCACATATATTTTCTTTTTAATTAATTTTTTTATTTTTTTAATATTACATTGAAATCAGAATCAAGTTTTTTATTATTTCTGTTCGATCTGGCTCGATTACATGTTACAAGACAGTTTAGCAAAGCCAAGGCCATTTTGGTAATTTAAATCATGGCGACCGATGGGTTTTAGTGTTAAGTGTCGGTGACTGCATTGATTTTTGTACAACCGACAAGTGAAGTGCTTACGTTTCTTTTCTTGAGCGTAGCTTTGTGGATACAGGTAGTTTTCCAATGAAGCGAGTTGCACAGCGAGCTTAATCCCCTGGACCCACTGATTTCGTTTTCATCCATTAGACATTTACGTGATGAAATCTTGACTATTTATGGCATTAAGTGACAAAATTCTTTAATAACAGGTCCCACATATGTCATTTTCAGGAGGATTGAGCTAGTTGTTTAGAATCCTGACCATTTAATTTTGAACTACGACTTTTTAGGTTTTAACCCATTTTAGTAGAAACTATACAAATCAGCAATACAATATGACAAGCAGATCCAATAGGGAGTAATTAAAGGTTTGTGAAGCATTCTAGTCTACGGGTGTAATTGATTCAGTTAGTTAAATTCGTATAGTGAGAATTTGAGTTTAAATTTAACTTAAAATTTATTTTTTGAAATTTGATTTGATTTTGATTAAATTTTAATTTTTAAATTTAAATTTGATTTGAAATAAAAATTAAATTACTTAAACTTATTCTATTAGATTTATTTATAAAATAAAAAAAGTTCAATTTTTTTATTTGACTTTAAATTAGATCATTTTTATTCAAATTATAGCTTGAACTCAATTTAATTTATATATATGGATAAAATAATAAATTTTTAATTAAAATCTTAAAAATATATATTAAAATAAAAAAATTTGATTAGATTTTTGAGCTATTTGAATTTAAAATTAAGATACTTGAATTTATTATTTGTGATGCATTCTAGTCTACGGGTGTAATTGATTCAATTAGTTGAGTTCATATAGTGAAATTTTGAGTTTAAATTCTATTTAAAATTTATTATTTGAAATTTGATTTGAATTTGATTAATTTTTAATTTTTAAGTTTGAATTCGATTTAAAAATAAAAATAAAATTATTTGAATTCATTCGATTAGATTTATTTATCAAATAAAAAAAGATTTTAATTTTTATATTTGATTTTAAATTAGATCATTTTTATTCAAATTATAGCTTGAACTCAAATTAATATATATATGGACAAAATAATAAATTTTTAATTAAAACATTAAAAATATATATTAAAATAAAAAATTTTAATTAGACTTATGAATTATTTGAGTTTAAAATTAAGATACTTGAATTTAACTCATTAAATAAATCGAGTTGTTTAAACTTGAGTTCAACTCAACATTGATCGAGTCTAGTGCAAATTTTCTTCAAATTAAACCAGAATAATTTATGGACATTGATATATAATTTACACATCTATTATGACCCCTAAAATTTTATGTAAAAAGAAAAAAAAATGAAAAAGAAAAATATATAGACATATCTTCTAATTTCTTAGGTGATTAATAAGATGATGAACCAAATTAACAGAAGAACAGGGCCCATAAAACCCAAAAAAGTACTTTACTATTTTGGGCCTCCCTATTTGAACACTAGAAATTCAACAGTTCCAGGCCCATTTCCCATAGTTGTTAGGATGTCAAAATTTTTAGACTAATTTGCTTCACTTAATAATCGCTATAATATTCTTTCAGCCCAATAGAGTCTTCCAATACTGGACTCTTAGCCCTAATCAAGGAGTTAGTTTTAGTTGGATTCCTTCATTAACTAAAGCTTATTATTTTATTTTGAATCACTTTGATCAGAATTTATTATGCTTAGAGATATGATTGATAACAATGAATTTCATTTGAATAATTGAGACAAGACTTGGAATGGCAAAGTATTTGGCATTTTTTCGCACAGATTGATGATTCACATCTACCAAGTAATTTGATCATTGATGAACAAAGCTTTGCAATTATAACCCAAAACCTCAACTATGCAATACCAATAATGCCCACCCAGCTCATAAATATTTCCAACTACATGTTGATAAAACACATAATAATCAAAATTATTTTATCACTAATATTAGTTGGTTAAGTGAATATGAGAAAATTTGTATAACGACTAAAAAAAACATGAGAAATGCTAGCCCCAACTGCACTCTAAAAGCTCCTTTAATCTTGATAGAATAAAAAGAAATATAAATTTTTTGTTAACATAAATCCAAAATAAATAAAATTTTTACTCGTAACAAGATTTGTAATTTGTATCCCACATGCATTACATATTCGAAATTAACGTCAAAAAAAAAAAAAACCAATAAAATTTGAATTCGAAATTGTAATAATTTGAGATTAACATCGTAAATGCTTAAATCAATTCTTATTGGTGAAGAAATGGAATTTGAAACTTTAGAAAGGTCACCTTCTGTCTTTCTCTTTCTTTCATGCATACAAACAAAGGCAAAAGAAATTTCCTACACCATGCCAATTGCCAATTGCAAATTCATTTGTCAAACATATAAACCATATGGCCATGGGTCCCCATTTGTCTCCAAAAAGTAGTTTGAAGTACAATATAAAAATTGCCATCATTTTTTTTTTTTTTTTTTTTCATTTTCTATCAAACGCATATCCCACCTTGAGTACCCTAACCAAAGTATTTATGGCTCGCAAACACAAACTCCCAAATGAAAAAGACTAGTTCATTGATTTTTAGCTCTCCCCAAGTATCTGAGAGGCTGAAACAAGGCTTTCAAGGTCCACACCACAACAAGATACTTGGTAGTTTCATTGGTTCTTGTCCTTGTTGCATACAAATGAAACCATGATCACATTATTGATGCCTTGATATATGTTGCTTGGTCACTTTGGGAAAAAATCAATTGTATGATGAATTTATTTTAAGGCAACTTTTCTTCTTGCATTTTGATGATTTCCCATGTCAAATTTGCATTATTGGGTTCAAATCATTGCATTATTTTTTTGTTTTATTTTGTTTTTATTCGTTTTTTGCAAACAGAAAGTAAAAATATCTATCAAACGGATTCTGCATATTTCATGTCTTTCACTACTCGACATGGTGGATGTAAGTTAATTAAGATTGGAACCCAAGTAAACCCTTGCCATACCCTAATATTCCTCTTATATATATATATATATAAATATCATGAGATCATAGTGTTCATGTTCATGAATGTACTTAAGCTAAAAGCATTATCTATGTCATCAATCATGGTGTTGGATGCCACTTCCTACCCATCTTTTATGTTGGAGTCAAAACCAATAATCCTCTATCAAACCATTCATCTCTAAAATTAACTATATATTGTCATATATCAAAACCTTAGGATTCATAATTTAACTGCATATTGTCATATAATCATTAATAAAAAATTATATAATTGAACAATCTTAAAATTATATACTTCTTTTGTGTCATTTTTTTAATGTCTCAAATTTTTTTTTTATTTTTTTGAATATTTAAATTTCTTTTATTTTTATATTTTAATTATTTTAATTATTTTTTTAATAAAATTTAATATAAAAAATTATGAAAATTTAATTTTATAAAAAAATTTTAAAATTTAATTTAAATAGATTAAAATCAAAATTTTTAAATTCATAAAAATCAATAAACAAAAAATAATCCGGAACGGAGGGAATAATTTACAAACGGAAAAGAAGAGTGAAGACAGGCGTGTCGGAAAATGGGACCATAGCCCACAATTAAAGAGAAAAAAATCGCAATAATAATAATAATAACATAACCAAAGAAAAAGAAAACGAAAAAAAAAAAAAGAAGCATGGCCCATTTAAAATAATTCCTTTCCATACAATTCCTCCCACGCGCTATTCCCCAACAAACTCCCACCATCCAATCCTACAGCTCTTAAATGCCACTCTCGCTGGGACCTACCTCTCGTGAAGCACAATCGCGTGAGGAATTGAATGTATTTTTAGCAAAAAAATGGATTTTCTCCGTAGCAGTAAAACAGTATTGTTTTTCTTTCCTTTTAATTTTGATCTTCTTCACTTTGTTGTCAGAATCCAGACCCAAAAACAAACATAAAGAAAAAAAAAAAAACACTAAAATAAAAGCGTCTCCATGGTTTTAGCTGCCATATTCTCTCTCTAAGTTCTTCAAAGTTCACATTTTTGGGCAAAGAACTGAAAGCTCTTGCACAGCAAAATAAAAGAAAAAAGACTTTTCCTTTTTTGTATTTTTGCAGAAACTGATTCTTCCAAGGTATCATCTTTCGTTCTTAGTACCCTTTTTTTTTAAATTTCTGGGTTTTCTCTTCTTTTTTTTTTTTATTATTTGAGAATTTTTTTGGGTTCTAAAACTCATTCTTTTTTTAAAGTCTGAGTGTGTTTTAGTGTTCTCTTCTACTGTTCATATAAACCTCAAAGGTTTGGTCTTTTACAGATATATTTTTGAAATAATAAATTCCGGGTTTCATCTTTCTTCTCTGTGTTGTTTGATTATTTGAGTGCTTTTCCTTTTTTTTTATTTGTTTAATGTAAATTTGGGATCTTAATTAAGAACCTCACGTGATTAATTTTGTTGATTAGAGTATTATACTTTAGATCCAATTGATTGCAAAATGTGGCTGGTGAGATCAGACTAACCCATACTCTTTGTTTGTTCATGTCATGATGTTCATTTTGTGTTTGGAATTTGGATTTCAATTGAGATGTTACTGTTTTATGCAGTAT